GGTAATATTGTTTGAAGACCATTTAAACTGATTTAATGGAAATTACATAATAATGCAAACAAAATCCTGCAAAAATAAATACATTTTATTTTGAAAAGAACACTAAACACTGGAACTGGTAAACAAAAATAAAATGGATTCTCAGTCTCCATTAACAAAAAATGTACTTGAATAAAAACTAAACGCAACATAAAACCAAAAGAGTTCAGATTATCTAGTCTGTACATTATAGCAACCCTTAGATGGAGAAGACGGGCACATCGACCTCCTGGTGCAGTACTTCACTCCTCCCTTGAGCCCAGTTCAAACTACATGACTTTTTGCCCGATTTTCCCCTTATGACAGTCCTACGTGTCCAACAATCATCCTGTTGTGTGTCACGACTGATGGGGTCCAGTTGGTGGAGCCGCTCCGATCAGGGCTTTTCCCCGACAGGGAGCGAGAACGTTGGATGTGACAGGTAGCCAATCAGAAAGCGTGGAGGGGAATCCCAAACAGCTGACACGGCGCAACCCGAAGTCCAGCAGACATTGGAGATGATATGTGGAAACAACATGAATATTTATTCAACGTTTCGTGCAAAGAATGTAGAAATGACCAGGAGAGGAGTTGGAGCCAAATTGCTACCGCAGCTGATAAACCCGGTAGGTTTTCAGCTGCTCTTCGTTAACGTGACATAAATAGGTTATAATGATTTTCATTCAGTCGGAACTTTACGCTGATTCTAGCCACATGCATCACAGGTAGATTCTAGTAAAGCATTGATTAATGCCTGGTTTTAAAATTAGTTAACTGGACTTGTAGCCCTTATTTTGTGCCCGTTGTTGGACCTGATTGGACCTGATTGGACCTGATTGGACCTGATTGGACCTGATTGGACCGTTATATGTAGGATTTCTGTTGGCTAATGCGTCTCTCAGGTTTAGAAAATGGGCTGACAACTCGTGTAGTGTGCGCTGGGCATTACACTAAGGAAATGAGGAAGGGAGGGTCAGTGCAGAGCACCGGAGTTGAGCCTTTTTTCATTCAGTGTCATCAACAGAAAGAAAAAAAGGCAGGAAGAGACAATAAAGCCGATAATTAAAATGAGGTCGATAGGTTTAATTTATCGTGCGATAATTGATTTATCGTTTATCGCAACAGGCCTAGCAATACTTTCCTATAACAAAATAGACC